ATCCCAGATTTTTTGAGGACATCACTGATCTGGTCAATTTAAGTCCTTCTGAGACGTCCTGCTAAAACCCTTCCATCCATTCGCATCATAAACCTGTTTGGTAGTTGTTTTTACATCATCTTATAGCCCTGGCAACACTGCAAATAACGGACAATTCTTTGAATACAAAAACAGACATTGTTTTTGTAAAGATTTTCGTAAATATAACGAAATGTCGGGTTTTAAAGCGCTGAAAGATGTTTGCCATAACTTCGAGGAAGAGTTGCGGAAAGTTTCAAATTATCTAATCGCCACTAAAATAGGTGACACCTTCGAAGATGGAGTTGCGAAAAAGATTCGTGATCTAACGCTATTTACATCCAAATTACGGCTACTTCGAGCTGATCCAATATCTCGTGAGTATTGTTTATATCATCTTTCATCATAAATATAACTAATATTAATGGAAACAACACGATTTAGTTCTTGCTTTTGGAGGTTACATTATAAGTACAAATTTTCTGAAAACTAAGATACAAATGATCTATAAAAAGAATTTTTAATGATAATTCATCTCTTAACATCATATTACGGATAGAAATGGGTTAAAGTAAGTTAACAGCGCATTATGGACCCTGTAGGGCACTGCAAATTTGTATGTTCTTATGTATTTAGAGAGAGACAGTCTTACAATCATTTTAAGTATATTTATTGGTCCAGTAAGAAATGAAAATAATTTGTTAGTATCTTATCTATATAATCTTGCATGAATGTATTACTAACATCATAAACAATAACGTTTGTTCCATAACTTTTAATACTTAATAAGATTATACTTTCTTATAACAATAAAAACATTTAAATAGATAGCTCTAAACAGTAATAACTCTGTGCAGGACAGGGGTGGGAGTTGTTGCGGAGGACACTTGCATGTTTGAACTTATTCTTATTCTACATGTATAAAGTAACTGCGTACCTGTATTCTAGGCGTTTTGTTTATGCATACTTTTTTATATCACTATTTAAAAACGGATTTGCTATATTTATTAATTAATAATAACTGCCTATGTGGCCGAACGGTTATCATGCAGGACTGTCACGCAGAGGTCCTGGGTTCGATTCCCAGGCCGGGAGAAATATATATAGCCTACATTTATTTCTCTCATGAGTTGTAATTTGTGGTTGTATCTGTGTGTGTCCATGGCATGTGCAATACAAGGTTTCTCTAGTGCGGGGATGTGAGTGTATGCATAGTTTGTTCGTTTGTATTTAACAATAAGACAATTAGTTATAATTATGAAATAACGTCTAGCAAACATTTTATGTCATCTTTGGTTGCATCACCGTTCCAACTCCTTAGTTTTATCCTAAGGCTGCATAGAAGGCTGCCTGTTGTACATTAGTTTATTCTGTGATATGTTACTGTGTTGTTATTGTTATATGTTATTTGTTATTAAGGTGGCTTCTAATGTAGGCCCTCATCACTGCAACCATCAGCTGATCTATTGTGATCACCACTAATTACAGTTCCCATGCCGTCTGCATTGAAGAACTGAAGGACTTTCCTGGCTCTGACAGATTTTATGTCCTCTGGTTGTAGCATGTGCCTTCCCAGTATGGAGCTTCATATGCCCATCAGGGGTAGCATTGGATGAGAAGATGAACTAGGTTTCATCCGCCTCATGGCAGACTCCACACTCTCTATTCTCTCTCTGCCCAATATTTGACATCTGCTTGTTTAAGCCACAGTGTCCTGTTAAGACTCTAGTGCGCATTCTGATGCCATTCCTGTCTAAGGACAGAGCTTCTGTACAGTGTTTGGCAATGTAGGCAGCTATCAGGGCTTTTGAATGCTCAAGACCTTTGCTCTGTGGCTATACTTCTCGGAAGACGTGTGTGCTTTTGTTCAGCAGAGTGAGCTTTGCCAGGCTGTATTTTTTTCTATACAAATGTATGCTATCCCTATAAAGGGTTTAAGTCCAATAATGGTTTCCCTAGCACCAGCCTTTGGAAGTTCGTCTACTGCCTCATTTCCCTTGACGTCAGACTGACCTGGAACCCAGCGCAGGATCTTTATTTTCCTTTCCCCGAGAGCATTCAGTACAGTCACACAGTTCTCTACAATCCTCGATGTTTGGGTGACTGAGGTTAGTGCATGTAGAGCGGCTTGACTATCTGTGTATACATATACAAATATACTTGTTAACGTAGCCTCTCTTCAGGTTCAAATCCGCACAAGCAATAAAATTATGGTGTACATTTCGGCCTGAAGGATGGGGAGGGGTTTGGCTCTAAATTCAGCTTATAGTTGAGCCTGGGTCTCACGCCGTGTATACCACAGCCCACGTTATTGTTGTTATATATTACATGCAGTATATAATATTTCATTAATTATATTTATTGTTTACAGGTACGCCACAGATAGCAGCCACTGAACACGACGTACAGACAACCCGGAGCAACTATGGTGACCTTGCAGCCTGGAGGGTCATAGAACAACAAACAGTTAAAGCGGTCACTCAATCGCACGCGGTCAGGACGCTTATTAGTACACCTGACAGTGTTTTGGATCCGGAAATGATTGAAAGAAAGGAGTAAGAAATTTTTTGTGTATTCAAATTCTAATTTTTGATAGCTTTTATTTTGAACATTCATCCATAAGGGCTAGCAACTGAACACTTAAAAATAGGGTTAGTACTATTACAAATAGGTAATAATTATACTTCTTTCTTATTGATATTCATTAAAGTCCAGTGCTCATGAAACGAGCCCCGAACCCTGGCTCTGTATACCACTCTCTAGCCACTCACTATATAAATGTGGAAGCGAAACCCATCATGCGAATCCTGGGAATATCCAGAACATAGGCGTGGAACCCCAGTCCACATCTAATCCCCCGATGATGAAAAGGCGGAATCAAATTATGCAATTCCATTGCATAATCTCCGTGATATACCCTGTAGATTACCGCTAAGCAAGTAACAATACGACGGTGCTTGAACCCTGCAGCTTCGTCTCTACTTATTCCGACTGTCACCTGTAAGCCTCTTGACACGGTTGTCGCTCGAATCCAAGCTGGCCAGTTGGTATTTAGCAGAGCCATCCCATAAGTGGCAGCAGTACTCCATACACGACCGGACTTGTGCTTACAGCTGAAGCAAACTTCTTTCATTCTTTTTTTTATGACTGTGAGCAGATGTGTTGCGTGATTACTGGCGTGTAGAGTTACCTCCCTAGCAGGAGGAATCCAATTGCATCATCATCCAGTTCTAAGATTCTGCGCCTCTTAAGACGTCTCATTGAGTCAGGGATAGTCAGTTGCCCTGCCAGCAGGTTAGGGTGGTGATGTAGTCGCTTTTTGTACTTAATGGAGTAAGATCGAATTTCTTCCTTTACTGGTTGATTTTTAGGTAGTGATAGACTTCCGAGTTTCGAATGAACCAGGACTTATCAGAAATCTGCTTGAGGATGGAATCTTCAGCTCTTTGTATTAGTGCGATATTTGAATTGCATGCGGCACCACAAATCTGAATGCCGTAAGTCCATACTGGTTTAAGGACAGTCTTATATATGAGAAGCTTATTGTCAAGAGACAGCACACTGTTCCTTTTAAGCAGCCAGTATAGTACGCGATATCGGATGTTGACTTCGTCTCTTTTCTCTCGGATATGATTCCTCCAGGTCAGCCTACGATCCAGATGCATTCCTAGCTACTTAACGGAGTAGTTGTGGGGGAGTTGTTGGTCGCCTAATTTGACCGCTGGGCAAACTTCTCTTTTCAAAGTGAAAGTGATCTGGACGTCTTTCATTTAAAAATTAATCTTTAAGGCCGTGGGGGAGGCCAGAGTTTAAAATAGTTATCCAAAATAATAATAAGTCAAGTCAGGCTGTTGATCCCAAACTCCTTCAATCTATGGAGGATTCTGTTTGGATCTGTTTGTGTTCTTTCATATTTATATTGGGTAGAGGTCTGTAGTAGTAGTAGAGTGGTCTTCGTAGAGGTCTGTAGTAGTAGTAGAGCTTTTTGTGAAAGAGTTCGCCCAGTGAGGTATTGCCACCTTATCTATTTCTGGCGCCAAGCAGTAATATGAGCGTTACTGCGTTCCAGTTTTGAAGGATAAGAGTACTGGTGAAATTACAAACACATGGCACTTGTCAAGTTATGTTTCAAAGGGACTGGCGCATTGACGGTGCATATTAGATCACAGGGGGTTATTCACGTAATGAAACCGTTACGATATCGTAGCGATTTAGTCGTTGTACTGCTTTTTCGTATTCATAATAAATAAATAATAAATAACGCATACACTCAACATAGCCCCGCACTAGGGAAACCCTGTGTCGCGGGTGCCATGGACACACACATAGACAACCACAAATTACACCCAAACTCACGAGAGAAATAAATGTAAGCCATACAAACATTTCTCCCGGCCCGGGAATCGCACCTGGGACCTCTGCGTGGCAGTCCGGCTTGGTAACCGTTCGGCCACGGAGGCAGTTATTCACGTGCGACAATAAACGTTTACGAGTCCAATTTTAAAGTAGTTCGATCCAAATGTCGTAAAGACAAGTCATACGTATTCTGCTAAAATTTTGACAGTTTTTTCAAAAGTCAAATGTCAAATTGCACAATCCAAGATGTCGTTCATTAGTCGTTACGTTTTGATTCTGCTCATAACAACGTTCGTTCAAGTGATACGAGAATACCCATTTTGGATAGGACTTCGATCGAACGACTAAGTAACTTCAACGGTATTTTGATAGCTTGAACTTACGTGGAACGCACTACAGATCATACCTTTGAGGGTCAAATAATATTGGAACACTTATAAAACCAAACCAAACCAGCGTCTTCTAGCAAACCGTGCTATACACTAAGCCACGGAATGAACTAGCGGGCTCGGTATAGCGCCATCCGTGACATTTTTTTCAAGTGTTCGATCTTCGTATAATAATTATAACAAACTAGTGGAGTGATTTCACAAAATTAAAAAAATGAGTGTCGTGGTGATAAAACATCCCGGCAATAGATTTAATTACAATTTTTTTTAAATTATTTATTGCACAGGAAAACACAAATCACATTTAGTACAACAGAAAACACAAACAAACGGTACTGCTTATTTCTAAAAGAAATTTCTTCCTGCAGACCAAAATATAGGGCACAATCACTGACTTACAATTATATGGACGTCGGGTCCGCGCTAAAAAGTGTCCGAACTTATAGGGCGTTCAAATCGTATACAGAGCGTCATTCACGCTTTAGTCTTAGTTTGTTCGACTGACAGCGAAGCAAGCAAAATTAGACAGTACTGCGATGACATTACAATTTAAATTCAACGTCTTAGCTTTTTCATATTCCTTTACATGTCTCTACGTTTAAATAGGTTGACTTGTGACATTTTTTCGTGGTTTTTGTATTAGACCCGTCGTCCATTTATTTGTAAGTCAATGGGCACAATAATTACAATAACGGGCTTACATGCACAACTACTAACTGGGCATCGTGTCTTGAACAAGCACATGTCAAATATTGGGCAGAGAGAACACAGAGAATGTAGATTCTGCCACGAGGCGGATGAAACTCCTGTGCATCTCCTCACTCAGTGCTGCCCTCTAATGGGCTTAAGAAGTTCCGTACTGGGTAGGCACACGCCACCTCCAGAGGATATAAAAACTGTTGGAGCCAGGAAAATCCTTCAATTACTTAATGCTGTTGGCCTTGGCTCTGAACTGTAATTAGTGGTGATCACAATAGATCAGTGATGAGGGGCCGCATAGGGCCCAAATGAAGCCACCCTAATAATAATAATAATACGTGCACAACAAAACAAACACAATAATTAAAAAAACAAAAGCTAAAATATGAACTTACTACAGACTATATAAATATTTAGATAAATACATATTTCATATTATAATATGTATAAAATGGATGGAACAGAGTATAAATAGTGCTACTTGACTCTTATTTTAAAGATAGCTAAGGATTTACTATCATGAACAGTAATGGGATGTGCATTTCAGTCTGACTGCATGAACATTAAAGGATATATTTATTTATTTACAGAAAAATTCTTTACCATCTATCAGAATACAATACAGTAGAAGCTGCTCTTCAGCAAGTTGATAATGTTTTAAAAGTAAAAGAACAAGAATTGTTCGCTCTAAGGCAGAAATGGGACTTGCTTCTTGGAGAGCTAAGGGATATGAGAGAGAATGCCAGTGGGAAAGAGATAGAGGATTCTGGACCAGTTTATGTGTAAGTATATAACCATCGAGTATATAACCAGAAATAGAGACGAAATAAGGGCCATCTATCCTTGGCAACTCATCAGGCAAATGGGCCTTATATCACTTTTAAATATCAAGTTTCGTTTGCGCTGATATCACAAATTAGAAAGCTGAAATAGTACAGCGCCAACAACTGACCTGTGTGTACGTCTTCGTATATTACAAAAATATTTTGTATTTTATTAATAAAGATAATAATATATAAATAATAATATTAACTGCCTCAGTGGCCGAACGGTTACCATGCTGGACTGCCACGCAGAGGTCCCAGGTTCGATTCCCGGGCCGGGACAAATATTTGTATGGCCTACATTTATTTCTGTCGTGAGTTTGGATGTAATTTGTGGTTGTCTATGTGTGTGTCCATGGCACCCGCGACACAGGGTTTCCTTAGTGCGGGGCATGTCGAGTGTGTGCGTTATTATTATTATTATATTTCTAACAATTGGGGGGTGTTCCATTCGGTGATGTGGGGCAAAACAGCAAAACATCTGCTTACAAAACAAACGGAACATTTCATCGGTAATTAAATATTAAATAAATAATTTTTCAATTTTCGTCCATTATAGCAAAGCTCAAGTTAAACAGCGCAGTTGTCACCGTAAACATTTGGCACAATAGTTTTCAAACAAATTGAATGACATTTCGTCTCTATTTCTGGTTATGAACTCGATGTAGGTATATAACTGCCTTCGTAACTAGTAGAAATATTTGTATGGCCTACATTTATTTCTCGTAAAATTAGGTGTCATTTGTGGTTGTCTATGTGTGTGCACGGCAGCCGCGATACAGGGTTACCCTAGAGCGGCGATGTGAGTGTGTGCGCGTTATTAATTATTGTTATTAAGTTTTCTATAGACTATACAACAAAGAATTAATCAATAGCCACTTTATCTATTTCCGCCGCCAAGCAGTAGTGTTAGCATTCCGGTTTTTATGGGTATGGGTGCAGTGGAGTAGCGTTGTTATTTCTGCCACCGGGGCCATCCTTAAAGTTTGTTGCCCTCTTTTCACGATTTGAGAGTAGTTCGTGCGGGAGTCGTAGGATATCGTTTTCTCAGATAATCTAATTTATAGCAGCAATTTATGCTGTAGCAGTAGAGCTCCTTGTGAAAGAGTTCGTCCAGGGAAGTACTGCCACCTTATCTATTTCTGCCGCCAAGCAGTAGCAGCATTACCCCGTTCCTGTTTCGAAGGGTAAGGGTGCTTGTGAAATTACAGGCACATGGGACTTGTCAACTTATGTCTCAGGGTGACTGGCGCAGTGGCAGTGCCCCTCAGATCTTTGCGATTTCAAGGTCTGATTGGTACTGCAACTGTTCGACTCAGTTATTATATAAAAAAAGTTAATTTTTTATTTCTAACATCGTGCAACATTCGTTGGCAAATCGTGTAGTGCATGTCGACCTTACGACCTTTTACTCATGCCCTATATTTTTCTATATCCTTTCCAGCAAACTCAAGCACTTAGTGAACAAGCTGGAACTAATAAGATGGTTGATTTGCAAGCTGGCCATCCCGCGAAGCAGAGGCTACGACTGGATCGTGGACCCACACAGAAGATTGCAAGCTTTGAAATTGGCAAGGGATCCTATTAATGTGGATACTTTTATTCAGAGTACGTAAGAGTGTAAAGACTTGGTGAAAAACAGGCTTTTTTGTCTTTTTGGCTCTGTGTTGCCGGTTAAACCGTATCTATTAATGATTTATGGGCGCTCCTTCATGGGGAGAATTCGCTTTCAATGTAACAGTCCAAATTCGAGCATTAAATCCGTGAAGGAGGAGAACCGAGTGTTGCAATGCGCAACCTGTAATGATACAATTTGTAACATTCGGTCGCTTCTTCACCGGGAGCATTCGCCTGTAATGTAACTATACGTTTAGCTTGTAAGGCTGCGGTTCCACTAGATGTTAGTGGAAATGTTTTCAAGTCTTTACTTAGATGCATGCGAGTGCTTGAGAGGGCGTGCGAGTGGCACTCACACGTACTCACAGGTGCTCACACGCACTCGCAGGCATTCACACGCGCTCGCAGGCACTCACAGGCACTCAAAGACACTCGCTCGCACTGGAAGGCACTTGTTCTAAATAGAATTTAGTATGTTACATTACAGGCGAATGCTCGCGGTAAGGGAGCGTCTTATCAATATATAGTTTGTAGAAACAGTAGTCCAAACGGCACCACCACTGCCAAAAGTTTGACAGATAATTAGTAGAAAACTGTTTCCAGAAGTGTTAGTAGAAAACCCAGATGGCAACACTGCCTAGTGTGACAGATAATTGGAAGAAACAGTAGTCCAAACGGCAAGGCTGTCAAAAGTTTCACAGTACAGTACTATGTCGTTAAAAATATACTCCTTCAAAATTATGATATAGTTTAAATAAAAATAGCACATAAATGAAGAAATTTTATTTATTTTCTCTTATAAAAATTTTGTTCTACAGGGTTATTAGTAAAATACTAATAACCTCGCGGGACTGTATTATTAACATAACAACAACGTGTGATGACTTTTAATAATTTATCAGATTTTACTTTTATTGTATGTATAAAAATAAAAATATTTAAATAGGTCGCTCTAAATAGTCATAACTCTGTGCGACAGTCAAAGAATACACGCGGGAGGCGTGGCTAACCAACTCAGGGCGCGTTTCCTTTATGTCGTAACGTTTTATTTATCGTTGGGCGACTGTCGCGTCTGGCCTGTTCCCATATCACAACTATTTGTCGTGACTGTGTCATCTCTAGCTCATACTTTGAGAAGAACGTTGTCCGTCCACTGTAGCATGATTATTTTCTCGCTGCACACTCGGTCAGAAATTATAGGAATGGGACAGCGATATTGCACTCACTCTTTCCGCTTACCAGTAGGGCCATATTTGCCATTTGTGTAAGTGCAGGGCTGTGCATTGCTGCAGTTGATAAATGCAATGGACATATTTTGTAGCTGACGTTTAATTTTGTTAACAGATTTCAAAAAAAAATTTAAGAAATAGTTAATTCGGCTGAATTTTTTTTTGTAAATGAGATCACTACTGATGAACCCGATCTTACATAACGTCATTACATATGTCCCCTTTTTTTTCTATATCTATGGCTAGATTTAACGTATGAATGCTGTGATACGTGTTATGGTTGCATATGATTTGCTTTCCGCCATATTTAAGAAATTAATAATAGAAATAATACTAAATCATCTAAAAATATTAAAAAAAGTATTCTGGTTAATATTCCGGCTAATTGTATTTTAAGTGTAAAATTTTGCAAAATTGTCCCTAAATCGTATGCACCGCGTGAGTGACTCCGCCACCCGCTTCATCGAGCGATACGTAATTTATAACCTATTTTTAATTATGATTATGTACCTGTATTGTTATAATTTATATTTAATTTACATTAATTAGAAAAGTTGACTGAACAAAGTTTTATTGTAACTTAGATTTGGTACTTAACAACTTTAGATTACATGAAACAATTGCTAGAAGTACCTAGCTCCACAGCTGGTGGCAGGTGGCTCGTGAGTTCCATTTCAACTTTCCACATTTGGCTTCAGAATTTTGAAAGCAGAGACGATTTTTGCGCGCAATTCTTCGATACTCGTAATCTCCTCCGAAACGTTTCACCTCATGCCATAAGAATAGTTACGCACTTGCACTTGATGGTTGTGCAGGTTCTGGTGAACCTGGTAGCGGTTCTTTTTTGCACTAACTCTTGTTTACATACTAAACCACGTGGCATTTCGTGAGAGACTATCCACCTTTAACGAGTGCGCTCGTTTGTAGGCGCGAGCGCTGCGTTCGAGAAGGAAAGGTAGCAATACTTTCTCGGTTCCTCCGGCTGTGCTATAAATTCTATGTACCGTGTAAGACGACCTTTGGATTAAGCAGGATCAGGTGATTGCGAGTCGGTGTTTACCGCATTTAAATAAAAAATAGGAATTTAGAGGATTTGGGTTCAGTTTCGCAATATTGTAAATCAACACATTCTATTTAGTTCTATTTTAAATAGGTAGTTCGGAATGTTGTTTAGTACCTTCTACAAATTACCATCTACAAAAAGTTTATTATAATTTTACAATAAGTAACCAGATAATGGCCTCTTAAAATACTTCATTACGGTTTGTTTACATTTAGTTATTTACGTAAACCTTTCTAATATAGTAATGAATTTAGTTGTCATTTTCTTCTACAGCTTCGTCTTCTTGTCCACTTCGGCTCTGCAAGTATGAGTTTCTACCTTCGCATACCGTGTTCCGAATTAAATCTTGCACGTTGCCTCTGAAAACCGGAAATGAATATACAACACATGCACACTTTTTGTAAGTTTAGGTACCGGAGCTGGCAATCGAATCAAATAAAATGTAAAAATAAAGACTTACAATTTTATTGTAGGTACTAAACGATAGAATCTGCGATAAGAATAAAAGTGACCGTCAGGACGGCTGGTCGCCTGTGGCATCTGGCACTGAGTGTGCCTGATTAAATATAAAAAAGCAAAAGTTTTTAGTGCTCTATTGCCACAACATAAAGGACAGGCGTTGGCACTTCTTAAAATTTTCAATCGTTTATAAGTTTTAGTAGATAAGCGCATACCTTTAATTCGTGAAAGTAGCAAATCGGTAGCAATTATTGGTAATACATACTTCTGGAAAATGTGCTCTCTTCATGCTGAACAAAGTAGCGACCAGCCATCCTGATATCCGAATGGCAGGTCAATTATTTTTTTTAATTTCTCAGAATATATCAAAGGTAACAATTCTTGAATATACACTCAGTGCCAGACGCCACAGGCGACCAGCCGGCCTTGACGGTCACGAATAAAATATCTCCAATAAACATTTCGTCTTACGATTAAAGACGTCCATGAAATATAATATATAGATAATATTAATAAGATTTCATGGACGTCTTTTGATTTCCAACTCCAGTTAACTTTTCAAAAAATCTGTAAATGCAGTTAATTCATTGTAAGAAAAATAATATTTCCTTAAAATTAACTACCTTAAGCATATAAGGCCCCTTCATCTATATCTATAGGTATGCATTAACCTATATTAACTATTATTAACCAACTTCAAAAAAGGAGGAGGTTCTCAATTGCACTGTATTTTGATGAGTCTTTTTTTGTTGGAAAGAGGGTACCTCGGTATTGGTTCCATTTAAATTTGAAGAAAATATTCCAGCTCTAAACGTGGCAAACTAAGGGATGAATCCGGTTTCGCGCACTTTCCGGTAGCCAAGAACTTTTGAGGTCGTGTTTTTAGTACTCTGTACTGATATTGAAAGAAATTATTCTGTGATGTTGTAAGACAGGTTCTGAATAGTACTACCGAATAAATAAATATCTGCTGCTCTGGAACCGTGTTTGAGAAAACAGTATGTGTCTGTTGAAATTTTTTTTTTTTATCTAAACTCTGTATTATGTGTTCAAAAAACCCGAATTACGACCAGCGTAAAGATAAACTATTTTGTTAGAACAAATTTCTTAACTGTAAAAATGTTATTATTGCATAATCAAATTCAATTTTATTATAATCTCAGTACAGAGTACTAAAAAACCGACCTCAAAAGTACGTGGAATTACATCTATTTGCCAAGTTTTATTGAAATATATAGGAGATGATAAAAATCGGTTCTCACTACTCAAAGTATATTGAGAGAGAAAAACGCCTCGAATTGGAGAATAGCAAAACCAACCATTAAAATAATTGCTCCTTAAGTAAAATTTAGGCGCTATTTGTAAAAATAAATGTTCACCCTTAGAGGTGGATGATTTTATTCAAAATTAAATGGGACCACTATGGAGGTACCCTCTTTCTAACAAAAAAAAGAATCATGAAAATCGGTTCACAAATACCGGAGTTATCGCGTAACATACGTACAAAAAAAACAGTCGAATTGAGAACCTCCTCCTTTTTTGAAGTCGGTTCAAATTTCGAATATCTCTGAAAAACAAAACAATTTGATTCGACCTCAATTCTAATATCAATCGAGATGAAGTTTTATTCGAAATGAAATGTCAATAGCAAACACTTTTGACTTTCACACGTTACTTGATACCGAAGGATATGATAGTTGGGGCCGACTCTAGTTTGTGACCATGGAGCGTGCAACCGTTCCGAAATATCGGGAAAATAAAAATAAATCCTACCGCGACTCTAGTTTGTCTATGAATTAAACAAAAACTACGGTTATGTGCATTGACTTAAAAATAAATGGACGACGGGTCTAATACAAAAACCACGAAAAAAATGTC